TCTCTCTCTCTCTCTCTCTCTCTCTCTCTCTCTCTCTCTCTCTCTCTCTCCCTCTCACTCACTCACTCTTACTCTCAATCTCTCACGCACTGCGTCGATACTCGACGAATGGTGTGGTGTGGCGCCTTGATGTACATGTGGTCTTTCCAGCAACACGCGGTGGGTGCTCTTTGCAAGTGTAGTTGTGAAAATCCTTCCTGATGAGATGAAATGATGCCAAGGCCAACACCGCTCGCCCGCCTACCAACAGAACTGGTGCGTCGTGCTTTTCACATTAGACTAGAGCGGTTGTTGTCTTCACATGAAAAACCGTTCCGATCTCTCTACTCAGTACCTTCATCTGTCCGTACTGATCGAACACTTGACGTCGATTCCCGTGGTCACAGGATAGCTTTCCCGAAAAAAGATGTGCATACACTCAAATAAACTGGATCCGAAGGGTCCGCAAGCCAATTATAATCAACGACAGATAGTCTGGAGCCCTCCGCTCCCCTCCTCTACATGCAATGTGGGGTAAAAATGAAACTGGAAGTCAACATCACGGGCCAGAGAGAGAGAGGGGTACATACCCTGGCTCAATCTTCGTACACCACAGAGAAAGAGAGAAAGCAATCGGGGAACGAAAGGAAAAGGAAAAAGAAAAAGAAAAGGAGGAAGAAAATAAAAAGTAGAAAGACACACCAAAATAAGAGACACACGCCACAATAACTAGCGAACAAACAGAACAAACACAATCAGTGCAGCAACAGCAAAGACATGTCATCATTCGTGAGGAGTTGTTGCGATGGTAATGGTGCAATCACGGGGGGGGCGGGGGGATTAGCGAAGGTATTCGGCGAAGGCGTTCGGCCTACATCGCCCCACTTGGCCAGTCTCTTCTCGCGTGCTTTCTCCCTTGCCGTCTCGTCCGTTTGCTGTCCGCCTCTCGCCCTCCTTGTTGTTGCCATGTCTGTACTGTTGCTGGTCTTCTTGTCTCGTTGGAGTACTCGTTGTCGGCTATCCTCCTCTTCATCGTTGTGCCAGGCGGTCATGAACCCAGCAGTGCAGTAGTTTAATACTCCGTGCCATGCAATTCAGTGCATTTATTCACGCTCCGTGCCATGCAATTCATTGTATTTATTCACGCTCCGTGCCATGCAATTCAGTGTATTTTTTCACTTGATCCAGTACAAAACGATTCTCAGCTTGCACGCGCTTGGTCGACACGTGCATCTCACACACTGTGTTCCACCTTTTGTATCACACACTCATGGAATCATGGACTGCAATCTTTATCCGAGCATATTTGTCATATAGACTACACCCGATCCCCGACCTACATGCCTAACGCCAACCCTCGCGTACCCACCAACAAATGCCCCTAGCAAACAAGCCTCCACGGTGTGAAGCGCACAAGCAGGGCAAGTTGGTAGACTCCATGCTCGCTTTTCAGTGATCACAAAATTTTCGGGCTGACTGCCGACTGTGATTTTTACTCTTCCTGAAGCGTTGTTATGTTTTTATCGCCGCCGTGAGGAGTAGTAAAACACCTGGTTGCTTTTTCACCAATCCATCGTCAGGTAGGAGGTATCATGCAGTATGTAGGAATCGCTCTGGCTGTTGTGTACCTGAAGGCGTGTGGTCTTTCATGTGACACGAAGTGGGTGTTTTCCGGCTTGAGGCCCTTTTTCATTCGGTGAGCCCATCCAACCGTTTAGCTCTCCGGGCTTTTTGCATCAACACTCACCTGCCCACCACAACCCCTTACACACCAAGATGTGTGCGCGTGTCCAGTTCGTGGACCGCATGCGGACGCATCCCTTCGGTGCAGCAACAGACTACGTAAGCGCTAGTCATTAGTAGATCATGCGAAAACTAACGCCGATACAAGCGTCGTGCGGAACGTTTCTTTCAGCGTGGCGGCGTAAGGCGCCAAGAAACTTGTACGTATATCCCTCTTGCTGTACACTGTACACTCATCAATTGCCTCATGCAGGGCTGCCTCCAATCCGAGGTCCGCGTTCCTTTGAACGTGCGTACATGCGGCTGTTTTGCCGAGACTTTTGCCGACGTACTTGCGGAATTGCCGAGACTTCCAAAAAGTTGTCATGGTCATCATCGTGCTTCTCAACCAACACTTTGCACACACGCACCCATTTGCACCCACTTGACTTGTTGGCTGGAGCGCTGAGCACAGCAGTAGTATGTAGTAGAATTAGTATTTTGTGTCACACGACACTGTACACACTGCTGCTGCTGCTGCTGTGATCGATCTAGTGAGCGTCTCGTTTTCCTGCACAATCTATGGAGGCTGGCGAGAAACTGCATAATATGGTCCTTGGACACAAAGTGTGTGCTGTGCAAAGTCGTGCATCGTAACAGCAGTGGTCTATCCATCAAAACATTTAGAGCCGAGCGATCAATTTTATTCCAGTCGATGGGGCAGGAGGACTATAAATTGATCTATATTCACGACTCTGCTGCTGTGGGCCCGGGTCGTCCTGGTCGTCCTGTTGGATATCGCAAAATACAAGGAAGGCCACCGGCAGTCCAACGCATGCATCAGCACCAACCGCTGCGGTCGCGTGGAGAACAGGGGGGCTTTGCGCCATGCGCGATGTGCCATGGATTTATTTTTTCAATAGTTGAAGGGTTCATCGACGGAGAGAGGGACAAAAAAAGTGAATATAACTACTTTGAGAACAAAAGTACAGTCAGTTGGAGACTCCCGATGCGCAACCATAGAGAGGAATGTGACACACACAGGTACGCTAAGCACGGCCGACACTCTGCGTACGAACTAGGTACAGGGATCACTGCTGTATCACAAGATGATTGCTTGTGGGAGGGTGACGCGATGGGCATGGCATCCCAATGCCTCTCCGAAGGGGCTGAAGCCGAACAAATTGCAAAAAAGAAGAGGCAAATAGAGGGCTGCTGGCACGTACATTTGATACACAGGTTTTCACCGACACAGTCGTCGATAGCTAAAGATGCGGGCATGCACAGGTCGGCCTTTCGATGCTCGTTTTCCGGAGCTGCTTACTTTCCCAGCTGGCAGCGAAATGGGGGTGCAAGGGCAAGGGTAGTTGCAGTGTTTCGCGAAAGAGCTGTGCAGGTGCAAAACCAACGACAAGCGGTGTGGTGTGTTTTCGTCCTATTATGGTGACAGTCTCATTTTTTCGCGGTGAGGCGTGTATTACGCTTTTCCAGTGTGTGTAGAGTACTACACTTGTCAATGTACTGTTTCGTGCAACTGCAACCATCCAGGGTCACACAGGGTAAACACCGGGGCTTGTTTCTTCTTTTTGTAGTTTTCGTGCCCCACCTTCCTCCTGCGGTTCGCGCTGAATGTTATTTTTTATCGCGACAAGGGTCCAGCCGTCCCTTTCCCTCGTCAACGGTGCTAACGTCGGAGTTTGGTACTCACGAAAGCTCTTCCGCATTTTCGGGCTTTCACCCGCAACTTTGTAATATTTTCACACCCGTGCGGAGTCGAACTCACGACTTTGCGACTAGCGGTTCGAGGTTACCACTAGCCACTGGGGCAAAAGCGTTGGAAAGAGGAAAAACGAAAAAAACAACGTTGGGGATGATGCATGTTGGAGCATATCATTTGGTCGCCTACAGGGGTGAAGACCCACCGTGAAGGGGTGTGCACGTAGCCCTTTCGACATATTTCGGGAGCTGCATACTTTGCCAATCATCAGCCAAATGATGCCGAAAGGCCAGTTGCAGCGTTTCGCGAAAGAGCTGTGCAGAAGGACGAGAACGACGGAGCTGGGCAGCGGCTGCAGGGGAGTTTGACGGGATATTTGGACCCAGATGGTCCTGACTTGCATATTGCGTCACCCCCTATGTAGCACAACCGTTACTTGCACGTCGTGATCCGACCAGGGGCATGCAACAAAGACGTCGAACAAATTGTACTGTAGTTCCAGCTCCACATCGATGTGTAAGATTTGTGTCGAGGGACTGAGTACGTGTTGAGAAATTGCGGTCTGATCAGGTCTGGCTGTTGTTGGCACTCGAGGCTGACCGCTGGGAGGCGAATTATGCTGTCACACGCCGCGTGTAGATCAGGTGGCTTTGAAACTTGGCACGTATGTGTCAACTGGGTTATCGTTAACCCTAAAGAGTTTGGTGGACGAGAGCAGGCTAGAGTTCTTCACGCGGAAAAAAAATCGATTCGTCAGCCCCCAGCGGCGGAATAGCGTCCGGACTTGACCCAACCACTTTTTGTTAGCGTGCTCGCTATGCTTGCCACCAGTGTTGCCGAGGCTCGCGGGGCATCCCTATATAAGAAGACGTTAAAGGGATGCTGGTGGAAGCAAAATGCTTGCGTTTGGCACCTTCGATTGAAATTCCTTCGGCAGAACCCTCGAGGCGTAGATGGCGCGAAGTTACCGTCGCGATTTAGTGGTCGTAGCTTTCGCGAGATAATCCGGCCGTTGTCAACAAATCGCGGTCAAGAAACCGGTGCCGCAAAATCATTGTTTTTTTTTTCCGTAGTATCTGAAACCAGTTCTATTCGGATTGGGATTTCCATCTGCCCCCCCCCCCCCCCCCCCCCCCCCCCCCCCCCCCCCCCCCCCCC